GGGGCCGGGCCCCGCCGCCCTTCCCAGCGGGAGGCGGGGGGGCAGCGCGCCCGGGGCGCTGGCGGCTCCGAGGGAAAAGTTCCCTAATGGAAAGGGGCGGGGGGAGGCGCCGCTCGGCCGGTGGCCGCGAGCGGGGCAGCAGCAGCAGCGGCGGCGGCGGCGGCTCGCAGGGAGGAGGAGAGGAGAGGCGAGCGGCCGGTGGGGGCGGCCCGGGGGCGCCGCGTCCTCCCGCCGCGGGGCGCGGAGCCGGCCCTGGCGCGCAGGCCCCTCCGCGCTGCGGGGGCGCGGGGCCCCTTCCCCCCGCCCGCGGCGCTGCCGCCTCGGCCGCTCCCGGGGCCGGGCGGGCCGGGGCGCTGGGCGCCGTGTCCCCCGCCGCCCTGCCCGGTCTCGGGGCCGCGCCGCCCCTGCCGCGGTGGAGGGCACGGGGCTGGTAAACACGGCGGGTGGGCCGGCCCGGGTGGGCTCCGGTGCCCGGCGCTTGAGGGAACAGCCATCGTTTCGTCCCCGTGCGCAGGACACAGCGTCCGCGGTCTCCACAGCAGTATCAATAAGTGAAGCTGGGGTGGCCCAAGCGAGTTAACCAGTTCTGCTGCTTTTGGTGCCAACTCTGCACTGCCTGCTCCAGTTCTGCACACACTGGGTCTCCTGCAGGAATGGGGGCAGGACCCCCCGGTGCCGGGGTGCTGGGCAGCGCGGCCGCCTCTCCCTTGGCGCTGGAAGCCTCCTTGCCCGCGTGGCGCTTTGCGCTGCTCGCACAGGGAGATGAGCCTCTCCTTCCATGTAACCACCTGCTAACTGAACTGGCGCACGAGAATTCCTGATCCACAGCAATTGATTGCARTGCGAACTCCAGCAGAGCCTCCCACTCCACCCTGGAATTCCAATGCCACTATGGAGTTGCTGAGCCCTATAAGGGCTCAAATACCTCCGTGTGTCATGGGAGCTGAGCGCRGCGGGGCCCTGCGTGGGCTGAAATGATGGGGTCCCGAAACGCCTCCYGCCAGGTCCCTGGGTGGGGTTGCTGTGGAGCTTCTGCCCTGCATTGCACAACTGCCTACATTCCTTTGGGGAAGGATTCACCTTTCCGTGAAGTGTGACACACTGCGTGAAGTGCAGGCTGCTTTGCTCCCCTGGCGCCTTGTCATTCATAGAAACTTGTAGCTCGTAGTAGCTCATAGAAAACCCACAAAACACTCATTTCTTCTTTCAAAGGCAGCTTGGGATGGTATGAATGTGTCAGCTGGGCTGGCAGTTTGCTGCCTTCCCTGTTTAGTGTCTGCTGTGCTGCACTGCTTCCCTTGCTTTTCCTTTCCCTCCGACTGCTGTGTGTGAGCTTCCCGGCGAGCCTGCGCTTGCTCGGGTGCAGGCCGCCCTCTCGGGCTGCACAGAGGGGTAACGCGGCTGCRCTGGCCGGGTGTGTGCCCAAGCTCCTGCCGTTCTCGGACCCCAGCGAATGGATGAGTGTTGGTGCTGCGCTAAGACGTCACTTCTGCATGGGTTGTGCAGAGCCAAGCCCTAAAAMCCTGACTTCTGTGACTCCAAATTCATGTTTTCACTCAACTAAACCTGATGCTTTTAGTTATTTTACTGTAGGCTCTACAAGAACTAGCCTGGTTTTTCTAGTCTCTTCCTGGTCAAACATAAGCTTAAAACCTTTTTTACATCTACAGCCAACTGCAACAATGGAGAATGTGACAGGTTTTTCTTTTGTTTGTTGTTTTWTTTTTTGAGGGGGTGGGGAGAATAATTTGTTTTCAGTTTGGTAATTGGGCACAAGGGTAAGATCTGCTCCTATTAGGAACTAGTTGGTATTTCCAGAGGCAGTAAATACTGTGTGTTTTTTATCTTGGGCCTCTGAGAGCTAGAGATAGTTCAGTTGTCGCTTGAACACTTTGGCTTGTGTGATGGCTCGTGTCCAGGTATTGAACTGGGGACCTCGAAAGCTAATCGTGTCTGTCCACAGCCTGAGTGGAAAAAACTGTGCCCTTGAAGGGAAAGCACCACTAAATGACCTCTGTTGCTCCCAACAGCTGCTTGGTGATATGTGGAATTGGGCGAACTGTGAGAGTTCATGGGGAAATGCCTAAATAATGAGAGCTGTTCAGCCCTTTGAGGGACTCTTATCTATTTAAAACAGACTTTCTGATCCAGCAAGCTATTTTATCACTACTTGCTTAGCCCAGTGGGTGTAGATGGTGCTACATGATACGGAATTGTCAGATGAAACAAATGTGCCTGTAGAATCCTGCTGTAGAGGCCTTAGTGGGTGGGAAACAATAGTCACCATTTTCTATCTGGGAGTTTTCATGGAGAACTTGGGATTCTGCTCTTTGAAGAGCAAGAAAAGTTTTGCATCCTCTGAGAAGTTAGGAAGCAGCTCAGGCTGCAGCTTTTTACTTCTCACATGTGCATGGTGACTATGTAATTTAACATCCACATGCCACCGGACTGGACACAAGCAGTCCCAGCACTAAGTGTACTGCCAGTGCAGAGAGCTGCTGTGTCCCCTGCTGCAATTATCCAGGTCTGTTTGGGTGACTGGTGCAGTAGTTTCRCCAGCTCCTCCGGGCTGAGCTGTGGGCTGGAGCTGGGCAGTGCTGTGAGGCAACACGTGTGACTGGCATCCTAATTGTACTGCAGCCGGCGGTGGTTCCTCCTTTCTGCACAATGGGAAGGAGCCCTTGAGGCTTCCCATGGTCTGAACTTGTGTGCACTAAATGTCGCAGCTACCACTGGCCCCTGTAGGTAGCTCAACAGGCATATGAGGGATCCCCATGGTTTTGGGGCCTGGATCCAGAGGCATTTGGCTCATGCAGCATTTCATGTTCTCCTAGTAGATGACTGGTGGGGCTCCTTTTTGTCATGAACTGGCATTAAACTTCCCAGGCTAGGGGAGTTAGAACTGCTGCAGGCAGCCCGGAGCTGATGGTGCTTGAAGTCTCCGGCCTCATCTTTCAAAGCTATGAGCTGCCCAACCCAYGTGTCTCCTGTCTGTAGGATATGGTATGTGTTTTATGGGCTGTTGAACAGGGTGAACCTCTTCAGCTGCCTACAGACTATCATCTAGTGGTGCTCACTTCCCTCTCTCCCTCTTTGTCCTTGCCAGCCTCTGCCATTCCCATACATGCCAAGCTGGAGGGAACTCTGAACTGGATTTGCTCCCTGTCTCTGGCGAGGGCAACTGGCCTTTATGGAGACTGGGAGAAGTTGCAGTATATTTCACTTCTTGACTAACTCTAGGTATTTATTATTGCTTCTTGGTGCTTTGAGCCTGCCCTTTCTTATACTGAGTGCTTGCTCCACTGCCTGGAAACGGGGGAAAAGGCCTGGTGTTGATTCCAGTGAAGCTGGAGGGTGCTCTGCCAATGTGCACAAGTCCCTGGAGGCAGAAGCTTGGGGCCTGTCTGGCACAGCTGTGCTGTGCTGTCATCTTCTAAATGGGGATGGCTGAGCCTGTGAGCCAGGCCAGCACCCAAAACGGGAAGTGCTTCCTGAGAGAAGGCAGGGACTGCTGCCCCTGCGGAGGCTCGGGGAGGATGAGCACCAGTGCAAACAAAGTCTCTTGACCTGTGGGATAGGAGCTGGTTCAGGAAGTCCTCAAGGGGAAAATAACCCCCCTGGACTGATCTGTTTATACTTATTCACCTTTTTAATTAAAAAAAGCTTCCCAGTGTTCTCTCCTCACTTGTCAAGTTGGACCCTGAAGATCAGAAAAGGGCTGTGCTCTGGGCAATGGGGTGAGAAACCAAATGACATTCCAGTCATGCCAAATAGTAACTTCTGTAGTGTAACTTCTCAGCCTTTTGGGCTGAGTACCCCAGTTTCTTGTCTGTTCTTGGAGCCTGAAATATGAAGTGTACTTATTGATAGTCCTGTTCCTCAGCTTGAGATCCAGAAATTGAAGAGAGCTGAAGGTGCCATACTCATAGTGAAAAGCAGTGTTTGTGTAGACACTTGGAAAGCAGATGCAAGTTCTTGTGTGACTCTCTTGAATGTASTTAGAGCGTGTGAAGTATGGAAGTCAGTGCAGGCCAGTACCTAATGGCTGCCCACTTCACCCTTGCTATCTCTGCCTGTCTCTGGGGA